GGACTCGATCCAGGGACTCCAGGATCATGACCTGAGCCGAAGGCAGTCGCTTAACCAACTGAGCCACCCAGGCACCCAATATGGAATACTTTAATCAAATAATCAGGAAATATTGTGCAATCTACTACGTGCAAAACTTGCTCTAGATGTTCCCTAGTTGGAAAATAGGATATCTAAGCTAAAACACAACAACAACAACAAACAGACTTAGGGGTTATTATTTTTTGGAGGAAGATACATTATTTTTATAATTAACAATTTTTAAACCATTTGAAGAGCATAGCACTGTGATGCTCTGGGCAAAAATCTTTTTTTTTCCTACTTAGAAGCCCTTGAACTGAATGTACTTTAGAACTTTACCTTGATATAGTTTATCTTTTGGGGAGAGATGGAATTGTATTAAAATTGGAATTTATCACTGAGCTCTTTATAAAGCAATCTTAAAGTAGATTCTTAAAGAATCAAAACCATTTCATTAATTCCTAAAACTACCATAACAAAATTAAAGTCCCCATTATTTCTCTTACTTTTATATTGAGGTCACCCATGACGACTTTGACTGTTTTTTCAATTGAAGTGATGTGATCTCGCAACTTGGGCTCTGAAAGACAGGGAGAGAAATGAAGAGATCAGATTCAGTAGGAGTATAGTCTGTTCTAGGATTGATGAAAACCCATTAGAGTTATGGTACATAATTTCAAAGTCTTTTGTCCACAACATTTCAGGCTATTCAATTTCCTCTTATCTTCTTCTTCATTTTTTAAAAGATTTTATTTATTTATTTGAGAGTGAGAGAGTGAATGAGAGAGAGAAAGCACGAGTGGCGGGGGAGGGGGGATGCAGAGGGAGAGGGAGAAGCAGACTCTCCGCTGAGCAGGGAGCCCAACACGGGCTTCATCCCAGAACCCTGGGATCATGACCTGAGCCGACGGCAGACCCTTAACCCCCTGAGGCACCCCTCTTCTTTTTCAATTTATGAGAGATGTTTATTGCTCTCTTTGCTCCATATTATATTTGATTTCACCTTGTTTAAAATGTTAGGTTCCAAAGTGGACTCAACACATCACGCCCAATGGATTAGCTTTAAATTCTGTGAGACTACTTCATATTTCTTGTCTTCTGATTCTTCAGTAAATCTCAGGGCTAACTGAATTTTTTGAAATATTATAATATAGGATAAAAATGAATTCTCATATTTTATTGAATTCAAGATGTCATCAAATTTATGAGATAACAGTATTTTATATTGTATCAAAAAAACCTTATAGTGGCTGATTATAATTAAAGATGCTATCAATTATGGGATAAATTCCAATATCATGAAAATATGTGCTTCTTGGAATTAATGAAATATGATATTCCATTAAATTCTGCTCTTTTCTAAATGTACTAATCTTTAGAATATTGTGCATTCCTCCCACCTACCCCCTATTTATTGGGTTACTTAGCCAGCTTACTAGATCTTCTAAATTTGATTTTCAAGTATTCTACTTCTTCTCAACTATGTATATCCATAAGTATCATGAAAGAAGAGAGGTAACTGAAAATGCCGTTTAAAAGTAGTAGATTATAGGGGCACCTGGGTGCTCAGTCAGTTAAGCAGCTGCCTTCAGCTCAGGTCATGATCTCAGAGTCCTGAGATTGAGTTCTGCATTGGATTCCCTGCTCAGTGGGGAGTCTGCTTCTCTCTCTCCCTCTACCCCTCCCGCCTGCTCGTGCTTTCGCACCCTCTCTTTCTCTCTCTCTCTCAAATAAATAAATAAAATCTTTAAAAAAGTAGTAGATTGTAGATGACGAAGAAAACAGAGCTTTACTTGAATATGATCTTCTATAAACACCCCAAAGACATAGAATAAAGTTAGAGAATGCACAGGCTTTAGTTTGCGTCTTGGCACAAAATAAACCACTTTGGCTTCATTCCTTTGCTTACCCTCAGCATTGATAGCCGATCTTAACAAAGTCAAGATTCCCATTCGAGTGGTTTCATTATCACTTCTCATTTGTTCATCAAAAAATTCCATCAGGTCTGCAGGGTTGGAATGGGCTGCAGGTTTAAGACATACTGGAGTCATAAGAACTCATTTTCACCTTAGGTAAAATACTTGTGAATGGGAAAAGCAGAATTCCATGAAGATTGTCAAAGTCACTCTTTGGTTGGTAACTAGATTTTATTACATCGATGTATCTTTAGTATCATGGAATTAAGCAGTTTGGTCACTAAGAGAGATTTATATACCACATTTGTTCATACCTGTGAATATGACTTTATTTAGAAATTAGGTGTTTTTTTGTCTGTTTGTTTTTTACAGATGGAATCGAATTAAGGTAACATTATTAGGGTGGGCCCTAATTCAGTATGAGATGAGAAAAGGAGAGGAGATAAGGGGAGAATGCCTTATGAACATGGAGGCAGAGATTGGAATGATGCTTCCCCAGCTGTGGAGCTAGAGAGCTACAAGGGTAAGTCAGGGAGCAAGGAAGAAAGAGAAAAGGTGATTGGAGTAAAGCGGTTTGGGTTTGAAATTATTAGAGATAGAGTGAAGTAGTTAATTAGGTCGGGCATAGAACAGAGGAAAGAATAGAAACAGAGGGACCAGTTAGTGGAGAACTAGAAATAATAGAAAGGTAATGCAGTGAAGTAGTAGAAATGACATATTTGGGAGAGGGTGGAGGTGGAGGTATGGGAGGTATGGGATTGCTCTTGTCCTTACTTTTCAGGGTCTATGTTGGAACGTAATTTGTATACTGACTCTGAGAACTTGGTGCCTCCTCTATCACCTGCACCAGGTATTCTAACCAGACAATGGGTGGGACTGTGATGTGAGAGCAAGAAAGAAGGGAAAGAGTGAAGGAGAGAGAGAGAGAAAAGGAATAGATATTAAGAAATGACCAGGGAGAAAAAAGCATGACTTTCGGTTTGACACAGTCTCAAATAATCTCAAATACCAAGAAAAAAAGCATTTCCTATCCCTAGGATTACCAACTCACCTTGGTGTGCCTAGAAATAAATCCATCCATATGTGGCCAATTAATTTTTGACAAAGGAGCCAAAAATATATAATAGGGAAAGGATAGTCTCTTCAATAAATGGTGTTGGGAAAATGGATAGCCACATGCAAAAGAATGAAACCAGATCCCTACCTTATACCATATACAAAAATCAAATCAAAATAAAGACATGAATGTAAGACCTGAAACCATAAAACTCCTGGAAGAAAACATAGGCAGTGAGCTCCTTGACATTGGTCTTGGCAATGATTTTGTTGGATCTGACAACAAGAGCAGAAGCAACAAAGGCAAAAATAAATAAGTGGTACTATATCAAACCAAAAATCTTCTGCTCAACAGAAAAAAAACACAAAACCATTAACAAAATGAAAAAGCAACAGATGGGATGGGAAAAATATTTGCCAACCATATATCTGATAAGGGGGTTAATTCCCAAAATATATCAGAAATTTTCTGGTTTTAGAACTGAAAGTTCTACCCCTGCAAGTCCATTAGTTCCAGGCAAACCAGGATGATTGGTTGCCCTACCTGTTGCGCTTCTCTTGGGAATGGGAGGATAGGGAGAGGCACAGGATACCATGAGTTGAAGGTATAGTGTGTGTGTGTGTGTGTGTGTGTGTGTGTGAAATAACTAATATGATAGTTTGCACACCCTTCATCACTATTGTCATCATCACTGGGAGACATTTTTATTAAAAACCCTCTGGATGCTGGATCCTACCTAGAATGAGGAAACAGCTTGAAGCTTCAATTTCATTTTCCTTTACTGGAGGCTCTGGAACTCTGCACACCTGAATGAGCAAGAAGAATCAGGTGGGAGATGTTAAAAACAGAAAACCGGTGGAAATGAAACAATCAGATCTGACAGCAGGGTTTTCTTACCTGGTGGAGTAAATTGATAAAGATGGTTTTTCTCAAGCCCTTTGGAAGGGCCGTGCCATAAAGGACCACCGCGGTCAGTATTTGTTTTAGACTCTAGAATGGAAGTTCTCAAAGGTTAGTTGGAGGCTGCCCGTGAAGCAGCAGCACAGGATGTGGAAGACAAATAATTATGTTTTTTGTGAGGAGAACAAATCCATAGCCTTCCTGCGGTTACCAGTTTTCTTTAGTGATTCTGGGCCCCCTGCCTTAGTCAGTGCCTCAGTAGTTTGAAAAGAAAATTCTTAACCCCTTTTTTGGAATTACATCCCCCAGCTGTGCCAACCTCTTCTCTACCTCATGTTTCTCAAAAAGTATTTAAGTTTAGATGCCCAAACCAATATCTCAGTTCTTTAGGACCTCTGGAGACTTACTGTCTTCCAGGATGGTTGCAGACAGACTCTCTGAATCGGTTCCTTGAGGGTGTGGCTCTTACCTGAGTGACGTGAAAATCAATCTCTTTGTCTTTATACTGGTTCAGGAGCCAGGGTACCTGGTCCAGGGCATAGTCACAGAGATCTTCCCGATGGAGCAGCAGGCTCACTGTGGGGCCGTGTGCCTTAACAATGGCCAAAGTCTGCAGAGGCAGCCAACAAATACCACTTCTAATACTTCACTGTGCTTTTTGTGCAGTTCTCAGAATACCTGGAGCTTTAGACACCCCCAAACAACTTTCCTCACTGCTTCCAACCAAGAGAGAATTCTTTAAAAAATGTTTAGGTTAAGATCATTGCATGAGGCAGTTATACTTATGTTTGTATTTTCAGCTCTATCTACATTTATATCTATACTGATACTCATTTCAGTATTTGCCCCTCTTCCTATTTCTTTAACCTTTCTCTACTAGTCGCTTTCTTTCAATATACTAATAAATTGAAAATTTCCCTCATATTAAAAAAAATTCTTCGATTCTATATCACTTTGACCCCAATTCTGTTTTTTTCCTTTCTCCAAAAAAAGTAAATGGTGAATCACTAAATTCTCTTCATGAATTTAAATAAAAGCTTGAAATAAACAAAAAGCAAAGCTTTCTGAAAGAGAGGTCTACGTTTGCTATCTCCACTTCCCACCTCTCATTTACTCTTCAATCCACTCTGGCTTCTGTTGACATAAAAAATGAATAAGTATAAAATATAAATGTAAATAGGTTGATTGTAAAAATTTAGAAATCACAAAAGTTACAAAGAAGAAAACACAGTATTTGCATTGCTGACAGTATCTATAGATAATCACTGTTTGGTGTATTTTAATATTTTTTGAATTTATTTGACTTATTCTTTCCCATATTTCCTCTATATGTTTTAATTTTTAAAAAACTGGTGCCATTCTTTAATATATAGTTCTACGTTCTGCTTTTTCTACCTAATATTATGTGATGAATTTTTTTTTTCCTGTCAGCTGAGTTTTGTTGTCTAGCAAACCATCTCAAAACTTAGTGGCTCAGAATAACAACCGTTTATTTCATTCAACTGTGTGTCAGCTGGATGATTCTTCTAAGCAACTGGACATTTCCAAGCAATGGACGCCTTTCAAGATTATTCTCGGTTGAGCACTGTAACAATAGACTCCATAGATCTCCCTTTACTTCTTGAAAATTATTCTTTTCTTAGTTTCTAAGATCTCATTCTCCTTGCTTAGAACCCTTCCAAGGTTTCTTATTTCCTATTAAAAAAAGTCCAAACTCCTGTGTAGCATCCAAGGCTCTTAATTTGGCCAAGACCAAAACCTTTTCTGGTTTTATTTGTTTCTGCTTCTTTAGATCTCCTTTCTCTTCTCCTCTTCCTTTTCTCCCACCGGACTCACTCAAGTGTGCATGTTATCTTGTCTCCAGCCTCTGCTTCAGTAGCTTTTATTGCATCTTTAGGGAATGCCTCTAGCTTGGGTGAATGTCTTTATAGGCTGCAAGCTCAGTTTCAATGTCACAGCCTTTCCATTACACACCACAGGAGTTAAGTGCTTCTCTCTCTCTGTTCCCTCATTACTGTGTGCACCTTCTTGTCACTTGTCTAACTCTTTCTGTGGGAAACTAGGAAAGTACTGGTACTGAATTGTGTTTTTCAGGTGCTTTGAAGAAAAGACTTCTACAGGATATTTTAAAAGTTCCATGTTTGCTAATGATTTAACTACCCCAGCATGTTAAAAAAAAATAAATGCTTTGGTAGCTTAAAGCATAGAAAAGAAACTGAACTAGAGAGGGCTAAGAGTTACATCTTTTATAATATAGAAATAAAAGACCTAAATAGGATGTAATTTAGCCCCCATTTAAATATTATACCGATTAAGCAAGATAGGCATGGGATTCCATGTGCACACACTTTGTAATCTCTTCTGCACAAGGCATTATGATCTTTTGAAGCAGCCATGCACATCCTTTAGATGTTATTTTATTTCATTGTCATCTTCATAAACATGGGAAAATTTGTGGGCTGTTGTTTTTTCTAATCAGTGACTCAACCCAAATATGGGTTATAAGACACGAAATAACAAATTTCTATATATTTTACTCATCTTCATTTAGTTATTGTTCTTTTCACACGCTGGAATGTCAGTTCCATGAGAGTGGGGATTTTGGTCTGTTCAATCCTTGCTGTATTCCCAGCATGGGAACAGTGTCTGGCATGTCATGGGGACTCAATAAATATTAGTTCAAGAATGAATAAATAGTGATTTGAAATAGGAAAAACAAAAGCATTGATAAACCTGATAAAACACAATCATAGCTTTCCAAAACAACTGAGATTAATGATTATGTCAGAGAGTGGAGGAAGTTCAAGCAGCATGGAAGGAGAGCTAGCTTGGGCATGCTGAGGCCCCCACTCACTTGCATGGGCGAGGTAACGGGGGCCCACTTCTCCATTATATACCGGAACAGCATGAAGATCTTGTCAGATAGTCGGTTGGCATCCAATCTTGGATAGGGGAAGTCTCTCCAGTGGTTGACATACTTGTAAATGGCCTTGCTGAATTTCTCAAGGGCTGCATTTTAAAAACAACCACAGACTGAGAAAAATATAAAGATGGGAGGGACCATAAAATAATTTGAGACGAGTGTACTGATGATTAGCAAATGTGTGATAGTTTCTATAAAATGTTATGACGGTACCAAATAAACATATAAAAAGTATTCAGTCACATTAGTGAAATGTAAATTAAAACCATAATGAGATAATACAACAAACCGTCTAGAACTGTTAAAATTTCAGACAATGTCAAACTTTGGTAAGACTAAGGTGCAGCTGAAGTTTTCATGTACTACTGTGGGGAGCATGAATTGATACAAACACTTTAGAAAACTGATACTATTTACCAAAGTTGAATATGTGTTCTCTATGACCCAGAAATTCCACTCCTAAGTATGCAGCAGTTAGATACACAAATAGGCACTAAAAAACTTGCACAAGCATGTTCATATTCACTTTCTTTTTGGGTCATAGCCTTAAACAGAAAACAGAAAATGTCTGTCAGCAGGTACAGTGGACGAATTGTAGTATAGACATGTAATAGGATACAGAAGTGAACACGGACTGAGCTTCACACAACAACATGTATGAATCTCACAAATAGGTGAAACTAATCTATGGTGTTGGAAGTCAGGCTTGTGGTTATCCTTGGAAAGGATGGAGATGATGATGATTGGCCAGAAAGATGAGGTGGGATTCTGGGGTATTAGTAATGTCCCACTTCTTGACCTGGGTGGTGGTCAAATGAGAAAGTTCATTTTGTGACAACTCATCAACCTGTACACTTCTGATTTGTATGTTTATCCATGGGTCTGTTTCAGTTCAACAAAATAAAAAAATGTTGGGCCTGCAAAAATATTTTGGACCACAAACCCATATATATTTGCATCAAATGCATTAAATAATATTATTTGTTCCTTCAGCCCTCATGTTTCACTAGATGATGAAGAAAATTCATAGTTTACTCCTCAATGATACTTCACATGTAAAGAATACTCTGGAAAGATACCGAGTATCTTAGTGCTGGCCATGTATTGGCTCATTCACATTCCCTTTAGGCTGATAATCTCCTGCTATACTTTGTCATAATCTTGTGTGTGTGTGTGTTTGTCTTGCACTGGCCAAAAGCAACATGAGGGAATGGATGTCTTATCTATTGATGGTATCTGAAGCAATGAGCATAATGTCTGCTTATTGGCTGATTGATTCAATGAATAACTAGATGGACAGATGGACGACTATGTAATTTTATACTGTTCTTTAGTGGCAGTCAGGCAAAAGTTGCTTTAGGACCAAAGGGCACTAGATAACTTTATAACACAAAGACAGAGAATCCCTTATTCAATGCCATGATGATTTCTAATTTTATTTCCTTTCCCCTGTTGGGTTGTTGATATTGCAGGTAGAAATGCTATTATAAGCACCACAGTTTATTTGCAAGAACACAGTGTTAGCTGTGATAGTAAGTGGGGAAAATAAAAAGTAGTGAAAAGTGGGCTGATCTAGTATAATTGCTCAAGTTCCTGAGCCAGACTCTCATAGTTCAAATCTTGGCTCTCCCACACACTAGCTATACGACTGCAGGCAAGCTGTTAACTTTCTAGGCCTCCATTTTCTCATCTGTAAAACGAAGGAAAAGTGTTACTTACCAAATGGGGTTGCTGTGAGGTTAAAGGAAACGATAATCTTAAAATGCCCAAGGCAGTATTCAGGCACACAGTAAATTCTCAGTATATACCAGATACAGATATTGCTTCCATTGAGGACAGAAAAGAGAGAGTGACCAAAACAGAACAGAAAAGACTTGGTTGAGAGGTAAAGATGACATTTCTGACAGCATGGGCTTTTAAATATTACAAAATAGTAGTGTTGGGGGGTGTTGGGGTGGGGGAGAGGGATCCTAGCAATCACTTTATTTAATGTGTTTAGAGGTGAAAATGAGATGGAGAGAGGGCAGAATCACCTGATGGTGGATGATCACGGAGAAGAGTCGAGGTCTCCAGACTCATCCAAGAAGCCTCTCACCGTGCTGTATATGCTGTTTCCTGGAAATTCCAGGGCATTTTCTTCCCTGTAGACTCTTGATTACTCTAGATGTATTTCGGTTTGGGGGTAGAGGGAATTTGTGACCCATAGTTTGTTTACCTATTTTCCTTAATTTTATGATTGCTTGTACTTTGATTAGATTGATTACTTATCATTATTACAATATTGCATTATGAAGCGATGCCAACATTTAGCCTACTGCTAAGAGCTGGTGAGCTCCCAGAACCACTGTGGGGGAAGTGTGATCCAACTAAAGAAGGAGGCTCATAGACATGGAGGCTATTTAGGGTAATGGAAAGTGTACAGACCACAGTCACATAGACTTGAACACCACCTCTCCATTTCATTGACTGTCACCACTTTAAGGAAATTGCTTAATTTCCATGACCCTCAGTTTCTTATCTGTAAAATGGGGGGAGGGAGGTAATAGTACTTACCTTGCTTTGAGGATTGAGACAGAGAGAATTATAATTGCTTTGAGGACTGAGAGAGATAAGTCCCTGCAGAGAAACTTCCATGTGGTAGGCACTCAATAAATGTAGTTATTATTATTAGAAAGAACAGAACTAGAGTAAAAGGAAAAATAAAACATTTGCACAATTCATAGTCTGGTCTTAACAAAGAGGAAACCATAGGGATACCCACCAATACAGAAAACTCTCTTCATCCTCTCCTCTTCGGCCAGCCTGAGCATGGTTTGCATGGTTAGCAGGGTCATCATCATGAAGGGAATACTCTGGGACACTGCCAAGAGGGGCACAAGAGAAGAAAAGCATTATCCTCACACTGGGGAGTTCTGCTCTTCTCTGCGTCAGCAAGAAGCATGTCAAGGCTGTGTCGGGGAGACAGATGAGGTGCAGCAGGAAGATACTCTCCTCTATCCCTCTTTTGCCATAATGCCCAGCTGTAGTTTGAGAATCAAGGAGTGGTTGGTTTAAAATAAGGTGATAGCTGCAAAGTCACCCATACCTGTTGTTTGTAGCAATTGCCCATTTGGATAATTGTTTGATTAATGTCCATCTCTCTCACCAGAACTTGGCTGCATCCCCAGGGCTTAGCCCAGGTAATAGATGCTCAATAAAAATCAATCAATCAATAAATATCTGTTAAATAAAGTGTAGAAAAACAATCATAACAAACTCTTACTTCATGTAAGTGTTCAGTCGTTTGCAGAACATGCCTTGTGGAAAAAGGGCTTTTGCAAACACAAAGCCAGATGGAAGGGGCAGTGAGGGTGGGAGAGTCCAGCCAAATCCAGAGCAGCATGGACTAATGGCAGGTCAGCAGGCTCATCTACGCTCAGAAAGGATTGCCTAAATCCCACTATCGATACTCTTTAGTAGGGCGGAAGGGAAGTATGGTCTCCTTTCTGCTGTCTGCACCATCTGGTTTTAGACGGTGAGTCAGGGTGAATGTTTCCCAGGCAAATGTGGAGATGTTCTCTCCATACCGTAGCTGGCTGCCAGTTCAGCCAGAGCAAGCACGACGAATTCATCTGGTAGTTCCAGGATCCTGAAGTTACTTTGTACTTCATACATCACAGAGTTGAAATCATGTGCAGCAAGAGACACCAAAACCTCACCAGCCAGCATCCTGGTTTCTCTGAGGATCTGAGGAAGAAACAACAATAACAATTAGAGGAAGAACAGGGGGAGTTTTCAGAGAGGTAATGGTCTAGATAATATTCTAAGTTCCCCTGGCTTTGGAATAGAGAGAGACCAAGTTGTTACAAGCCCAGGGGGGAAAAGCCTCTAGAGTGGGGGTCAGTAGCTGCTAAGCAGAGGTAACTTTAATGAACTGTAAAACCAGGTTTTAATAAGGTTCTTGTAAACTTGAGGTTAATACACATTTTCTTGCTAATTGATTAAGCACTATGAACAGAGGATCTATGTTTTATGTGTAAGTGATGAATCACTGTGGTTGAAAGACTGAAGAGAATGGTGAAAGGGAAATGGGACCAGGAGTCTAGACTTTTGGGTTTTAATATTGTCCTGATCTAGTTATCTTTGATATTGGAGATATTTGGAGGGACTTCTGCTTTTGGTCATGCTGAACTAGGTAAATTTGATCAACTCTCCTGCTGAGGAAAATAAAAAGACCTGGACAAGGTATTAGAAAATATAAAAACATCACAATATAGGGTGGAATGAATTACTAAGTTGAGATCTGGAAAAGATTGGGAATCCAGAGAGGTAAGTCCTATATTTGAGGCTGCTTTGCAGTATTTTGGGAGAATAGACAGAATTTAGGACCAACAAATGGTGACACTCTGGTCGTCTGACTTCTTATCTTTTGGCCTAAGACTCCAAAAGGCTGCATTTAAATGAAAGGTGCACTTGGCCCTCCATGGACTGTAGTCCAACTTGGAATCACATAAGTGCCCCCACCCCCCCCAGATCTCAAGTCCTGAAATTAATCATAGATTGTTAGTACCCTTGGCAGGTAAAAATCCTTTCTGGAAGAAAACACCTTAAAACTCAAATTATTTCTACAAATAATTTTTTCAGATACAGTGCCTAGCATAGGTAGCTAAGTAGGCACATGAAGAGATAATAATTCATATGGAAAGCAAGAAAACTGGGTTCTAGTTACTTGTTCTGTCAATAGATAGCTGTGTTATTTTAAAAAAAATCTCTTCAAGCATCAACATGTTCATCTAAAAGTGGAATGGATAATATTATCTCTAAAGTCTTTTTTTTTTTTAGCTTTGCCTCAGTTTCCTTATCTGTGAAGGGATAAATAATTGGTACTGTAATAATATCCAAGTTATCATGAAGGAACAAATGAAAGTGATTTGCAATTCAGGCAGCAATGTAGGAAAAGCTTAAAAATGTCTACATAGTTGCATTTGGGTCACTTAAAGACCAGTAACAACCCTGACATTGATTATCATTAAGAATCAAACTTACATTGTTGTCTCTCATGTCCTTAGAGGCATAATAAATCAACCGTTGGACGATTGCATCATCCAAGATGTCATTATTCTGAATAACAGAAGTGAGATGACTATAAACGTCTTCCTGTGAACATACAAGTTTATACGCAGAATCTGAGTTGCAAAATTAAGGAATCAAAGTGCAAATGATTAACACCTTCAAATTGAGCAATGTATTTCTACTTCACAATGGATCTTATACATCTTTTTTAAAATTTTAAATTCAATCAGCCGGCTTATATAACATGATTAGTTTCATATGTAGTGTTCAATAATTTATCAGTTTCATATTATAACACCCAGTGCTCATCACATCACATGCCATCCTTATTGGGGGATTTTATATATCTTAATTGGGGCTTCCTGAACATAATATGCAAACTTAGGAGACAAAAGCTTATATATAAAGCAAAGTTCTTTCTGAAAACTATTTTAACCTGACTACATTACTATGACAAAATCTAATTGAAGGTGGAGGCAGGCTACCTAACATATCAAAGTCTTGAAAGACACTGGAGTAGGGCACTCAGGGGAATGGAAATGCTCATTACCCAAACCATTGCTCCTACCACCGGGAAGTGACTATGGTATTAAGAAACTCACTGTGATTCCCAAAGAGGCTGATAAGCTGCAAAACTGGATCCTAAGGGAGATTTATAAGTCCTTAGCTTTATTCATGCCTTATAGAAAGAAAGTTCTGAATTCTTTTGGACAGAGCTGCAGCCTCGGAATCATGGGGCTTGACCAGGTGCTGTGTGAGAGAGCTCTTCTCAATCTCTTAGGTGGCTACATGGTCTCTGATAGATGAGAGACTGGGGTCCTGAAATGCCCAGCAGCCTCAAGCATGTTGCCTTCAAGGTATCGTGCCCATGTTGAAGGTGGGAAGTAACTCCCTCTACATAAAGGTTTCTAACCTGCAGTCAGGGTTGAGAACCACTAGATTAGGAGATAAAGGTGTAGACCCCGTCCTTCACAGGGAGGCTGCATTGGATCATGCCTAGGAGCATTGTTTTGGAGTCAGACAGGCTTGTGTTCTGGTCATGTACCTGCTCTGGGTCTCCCTCCTCTTAGCTGTGAAATGGAAACGGCCATGCCTACCTCATAAAGTTGTGAAGGGTGAATATAATACAAGTCACCATGTTTAGAAAGCATCTTGGGTGCTGCTTCCTAGATAAGTGTCCCTGGAGGTAACTGCTGTTATTTTACAAAAGGTTGCTGGAGCCAGAAAAGCCTTTGCATTCCAGAGAAATAAATCTCTAATTGTGGAATGGCATCACAGATGAGTAGGGGAGACCTCTGGGGATTTTTATAGGAACTCTCAGCTTCTACAGGAGGAGACTCTCATCTGCATGGTTGTAAGTCTGGCCTCCCCCTCTTTCTACATCTGCCTATATAGAAAGGGGGTTCTTTAGCTAGCTTCCAGAATTGGATACTCTGATTCCTCAAATGCCAAATATTATTTAAACATTACAATGATTCCCTTATAACTCTACTTTTTGAAAGATTGAATGTTATGTATGAAGCCAGAGAGAAAAGAAAAAGTCAAGGGAAAGAAGGAGGTATATGAAATGTTGCAATAATTGCACTAGGAAAAGTAAATGCAAAAGAGATTTTTCTCTATTTTCCTTACCTTACTAATATTATCTTCCATGTTCAGCATGCCTAGAGTGAGGTTAATATCTCCAAAAGTCTCTAAAATGTACAGAAAAAAAAAAGAATTAAGTCCCTGCTGGAATGTTCTTCTATTAATTCTTATGCAAGAGTTATAGAAATTTTATTTCTCTTGACTTCTCTTTCTCTTTCCTTTGCCCCTGATCCCTTTTCTTCTTGACTGTCAGCTCTTTGATGACAGGAGCTGTGTTTTATTCATATTTCATATACTTGACATACTTGCAAATAACCTGCAGTCAGGGTTGAGAACCACTAGATTAGGAGATAAAGGTGTAGACCCC